TTTTTTCAACAGTTTCTTCATCTATTTGCCGTGAAGTGATGGAACCAAATGCCATCTGAATGTTCAGCTTTAAGCCAAATTTTTCACTGTCCTTTTTCACTTTCATCAAGAGGCTCTTTAGTTCTTCACTTTCTGCCATAAGGGTGGTATCATCTGCATATCTGAGGTTATTGATATTTCTCCCGGCAATCTTGATTCCATCTTGTGCTTCCTCCAGCCCAGCGTTTCTCATGATGTACTCTGCATGTAAGTTAAATAAGCAGGGTGAGAATATACAGCCTTGACGTACTCCTTTCCCGATTTGGAACCAGTCTGTTGTTCTATGTCCAGTTCTAACTGTTGCTTCCTGACCTGCATACACATTTCTCAGGAGGCAGGTCAGGTGGTCTGATATTCCCATTTCTTGAAGAATTTTCCACAGTTTATTGTGATCCACACAGTCAAAGGCTTTGGCGTAGTCACTAAAGCAAAAGTAGATGTTTTTCTGGAACTCTCTTCCTTTTTCAGTGATCCAGCAGATGTTGGCAATTTGGTCTCTGATTCCTCTGCCTTTTCTAAAACCAGCTTGAACGTCTGGAAGTTCACGGTTCACATGTTGAAGCCTGGCTTGGAGAACTTTGAGCATTACTTTGCTAGCATGTGAGATGAGTGCAGTTGTGCAGTAGTTTGAACATTCTTTGGCATTGCCTTTCTTTGGGATTGGAATGAAAACTGACCTTTTCCAGTCTTGTGGCCACTGCTGAGTTTTCCAAATTTGCTGGCATATTGAGTGCAGCACTTTGACAGCATCATCTTTTAGGATTTGAAATAGCTCAACTTGAATTCCATCACCTCCACTGGCTTTTTTCATGTTGATGCTTCCTAAGGCCCACTTAACTTGACATTCCAGGATGTCTGGCTCTAGGTGAGTGATCACATCATCATGATTATCTGAGTCGTGAAGATCTCTTTTGTACAGTTCTTCTATGTATTCTTGCCATCTCTTCTTAATATCTTCTGCTTCTGTTAGCTCCATACCATTTCTGTCCTTTATTGAGCCCATCTTTGTATGAAATGTTTCCTTAGTATCTCTAATTTTCTTGAAGAGATCTCTAGTCTCCTTTTCTTTTGTTTTCCTCTATTTCTTTTCATTGATCACTGAGGAAGTCTTTCTTATCATCTCCATTTTATTCTTTGGAACTCTGCATTCAAATGGGTATATCTTTCCTTTTCGCCTTTGCTTTGGGCTTCTCTTTTTTTTTACAGCTATTTGTAAGACCTCCTCAGGCAGCTATTTTGATTTTTTGCAGGTCTTTTTCTTGGGATTTGTCTTGCTCCCTGTCTCCTGTACAATGTCACGAACCTCCGTCCATAGTTCATCAGGCACTCTGTCTATCAGATCTAGTCCCTTAAGTCTATTTCTCCCTTCCACTGTATAATCATAAGGGATTTGATTTAGTCATACCTGAATTGTCTAGTGGCTTTCCCTACTTTCTTCAATTGAAGTCTGAATTTGGCAATAAGATGTTCATGATCTGAGCCACAGTCAGCTCCCGGTCTTGTTTTTGCTGACTGTATAGAGCTTCTCCATCTTTGGCTGCAAAGAATATGATCAATCTGATTTCAGTGTTGGCCATCTGGTGATGTCCATGTGTAGAGTCTTCTCTTGTGTTGTTGGAAGAGGGTGTTTTCTATGACCAGTGCATTCTCTTCGCAGAACTCTATTAGCCTTTGCCCTGCTTCATTCTGTACTCCAAGGCCAAATTTGCCTGTTACTCCAGGTGTTTCTTGACTTCCTGCTTTTGCATTCCAGTCCCCTATAATGAAAAGGACATCTTTTTTGGGTGTTCTAAAAGGTCTTGTAGGTCTCCATAGAACGGTTCAACTTCAGCTTCTTCAGCATTACTGGTCGGGGCATAGACTTGGATTACTGTAATAGTGAATGGTTTGCCTTGGAGACAGACAGAGATCATTCTGTTGTTTTTTGAGACTGCATGCAAGTACTGCATTTCGGACTCTTTTGTTGAGTATGATGGCTACTCCATTTCTTCTGAGGGATTCTTGCCCATAGTAGTAGATATAATGGTCATCTGAGTTAAATTCACCCATTCCAGTCCATTTTGGTTTGCTGATTCCTAAAATGTCAGCGTTCACTCTTGCCTTCTCTTGTTTGACCACTTCCAGTTTGCCTTGATTCATGGACCTGATGTTCCAGGTTTCTATGCAATATTTCTCTTTACAGCATCGGACCTTGCTTCCATCACCAGTCACGTTCACACCTGGGTGTTGGTTTTGCTTTGGCTCCATCTCTTCATTCTTTCTGGAGTCATTTCTCCACTCTTCTCCAGTAGCATGTTGGGCACCTACTGATCTGGGGTGTTCATCTTTCAGTGTTCTATGTTTTTTTCTTTTCATACTGCTGATGGGGTTCTCAAGGCAAGAATACTGAATGGTTTGCCATTCCCTTCTCCAGTGGACCACATTTTGTCAGACCTCTCCACCATGACCAATCCATCTTGGGTGGCCCTATGTGGCATGGCTCATAATTTCATTGAGTTAGACAGGGCTGTGGTCCATGTCATTAGATTGGTTAGTTTTCTGTGACTGTGGTTTTCAGTCTGTCTGCCCTCTGATGGAGAAGGATAGAGGCTTATGGAAGCCTCCTGATGGTAGAAACTGACTGAGGAAACTGGGTTTTGTTTTGATGGGCGGGGCCATGCTCAGTAAATCTTTAATCCAATTTTCTGTTGATGGGTGGAGCTGTGTTCCCTCCCTGCTATCTACCTGTGGCCAAACATCAGTTACTGACTAGATTAAACCAGCATTCTTGGCTTGACCTAGAAACTGCCCTTTTTCATGGAAAATAGTATTTTCTGCATTTCAGAAACAAGCTTCTTAGCCCTATTCAGACTTTGGGGGACTGTCACTTTTTGTAATTTTGATTTGATTTAAAAGCTTAGTAATAGGGGCTTCTGTGGTGGTCCAGTGGTTAAGAATCCACCTTCCAATGCATGAGACTTGGGTTCTGGTCAGGGAGCTAAGATCCCACATGCCAATGGGCAACTAAGCCCAAGGATCTCAAGGAGAGGCTCTTGTGCTGCAACTAGAGAAAGCCTGTGTGCTGCAACAAAAAGTTGCTGTGTTTTTTCTTACAAAGACCCAGTGAAGTAAAAAAAAAAACTTAGTAACGTAGGAAGTAATATAAAATCCATTTGTTCTGAGGAGTTTCTCAGAGACCGTTAGGAACAGTCATTTCTGCTATCCTTACCGTTTAATCCTTAAAAACTCTTCATCTAAACAAAGGGTTGAAAAGTGTGGGCTTATTAATTGTTGCTAGAAAGTGGTCCCTTCTGAGAGAATTCTTGCAAGTCCATGATGCAGCTTGCTGTTGAATTTATCCTTGTCTCCGATGCCAAGCATGTGGCTGGCAACGAGTAGGGGCTTGGTGTACACCAGCTGAATGAATCAAGGTAGGAGTCAAAAGGAGATGTAGCTAAATGATTTTTGAGCAGAAGTCCTGCTTTTCACATTTCGAGCTCCTGGAAAGCAAATGAAATTTGTTCCACATTATATGTCATCAGGGAAAGGGAAATTAAAACAACATTGAGACCTATTAGAATGGCCAAAGCCCAGAACACTGACAACACCAAATGCTGGCAAGCACTTGGAGCAACAGGAACTGTCATTCGTTGCTGGGAATACAAAATGGTATAGCTACTTTGGGAGATAGTTGGCAGTTTCTTGCAAGATGAAACATACTCTTATCATATGGTCCAGCAGTCACATTCCTTGGTATTTTACTCAAGGGAGTTAAAAATATATGTCCATACAAAAACCTGCATATGAATATTTGTAGTAGCTTTATCCATAATTGCCAAAACTTGGAAGCAACCAAGATGCCCTTCAATAGGTGAATGGATAAGTAAACTGTGGTACATCCAGACAATGGAATATTATGCTGTGCTAGAAAGAAATCAGTCCACAAAAATATATGGAGCAACCTTAAATGCATGTTATTAAGTGAAAGAAGCCCGTTTGAAAAGCATATGCACACATATATTCAAATATTAAAGGGAATACGCAGATCTACATAGGAGGGAATTCCCTGGCATTCCAGTGGTTAGGACTGTGAGTTTCCACTGCAGGAGGCACTCAGTTGATCCTAGGCCAGGGAACTGGTGGGGCTTCCCTTGTAGCTCAGTTGGTAAAGAATCTACCTGCAATGCAAGAGACCTGAGTTCGATTCCTCGGTTGGGAAAATCCCCTAGAGAAGGCAATGGCCTTCTTGCCTGGAGAATCCCACGGACAGAGGAATTTGGCAGGCTACAGTTCATGGGGTCACAAGAGTCGGACACAACTTAGTGACTAAACCACCACCACCACCACTACCAGGGAACTGGGATCCTGCGAGCCATGTTACGTGGCCAAAACAACAAGCAAAAAAAAATAAATAAACAATATAGATATACATACAAATATAAATGGTGGACTTCCCTGGTGGTCCAGTGGTTAAGCATCTGCCTGTCAATGAAGGGGACAGGTTCAGTTCCTCACCTGGGAAGGTTCCACATGCTGTGGGACAAGTAAATCAGAGCACCACAACTGCTGGAGCCTGCCTGCCCTGGAGCCCAGCTCCCATGCTCCTCAACAAGAGGAGCAACTGCCATGAGAAGCTTGTGCACTGCAACTAGCGAGTAGCTCATGTGCAGCAACAAAGACCCAGCGCAGCCAAAAAAAAAAAAAGAATATTAACAGTGGTTCTCTCTAGTGAGAAGATCAGGATGATTTCAGTTTCTTCTTTGTGCTTTAGTCTTTTAAAATGTTTGTAAAGAATATGAGTTACTTTTGGAAAGGGGAAGGGTCGTGTGTAAAGAAGACCAATTTTCCCTGCTTCCATGCACACATGGTATGCCCATGTTGTTGATACTTACAGCTGCCCTCAGAAGGAAGTGGTGGGCAGCAGTGTGAGCCTCATCTTTGGTTTGAGGTTTTAAAATCACTGTCATCCCATATCCTTGCAGGGTACCTCCAAAAGCAGCCCTACTTTGGAGCTGTGGTTGGCAGGGTGGCCAACCGAATTGCCAAAGGAACGTTCATGTTGGATGGGAAGGAGTATAAACTGGCCATTAACAACGGGCCCAACAGCCTGCATGGAGGAGTCAAAGGGTTTGACAAGGTGAGTTGAAGTCATTGCAGTGTCCTCACCTGGCAGACTTCACTGAGTACCTTCAAGCATGCCTTGCCTTTGCCAGGCATAGCCCTGGGCCCTAGAGTCAACGCGTGGTAGGGTGATCCAGGAAAGGGGCTGCTCTCGTGGTTTGGGCCTGGGGGGACGCAGATTGCTGACTGTGTTCCAGGACCCAGCTGTCTCTAGCTAATCTGACTATAGTAGGCATCCTTTCCTGACTGAAAGGATGACAACCTTTGACTTAGGAAAGACAGGAAACGAACGCCTGTCTCACAGTTTTGGGATCAGAGTGTTGACTTTAGGCAGAACAGAAAAGTGGATTAAAGACAATATGTACCACTTCCTGCACAAATCATTTGCATATATTATCTCCCACTCTTATTAGAACCCTGTATTATCACCAGATGAGAAATCTGAGGCCCTGAAAGGCCACACAACTCATAAGTTGGGCTGCCTGACCCAAAGCCCTCATTCCTATACTACAATTGCTGGTGTCTGCCATAGTCACTGGCATACCCCCAACCCAACATCCCCCTAGTATCGGTCTATAAGCTCTTCCCCAACCCCGACTGGCATGTATTGTGCTGCCATATCCAGGCTACCCTTCCAGTGAAGGGTCTCATGCCTCAAAATGACGTCAGATTCTCCCCAGTTCTCCCTTTCCACATCAACTCCCATCCTGTAAGTGAATTCCTAGAAAAGCAGGTTAGGAAAACAAATTGATCAGACAGCTTCTCCCTGAGGTGGGAATGCCTGGCTTCCTGTTCTTTCCTAGTTGTGTGGGAGTCTGCAGGTTAAGCTCAGTGATTCTCTTACTAGTCTAATTTCAGAGAGGTAATTTTGGTAGTTAGCTTTCCTTTAAATTATACCACCCAGGTTATTTCCTAGAGAAAAGCCAGAGAAGACAGAAACATATGTGGCATGTTAACAATCACAATTTCTTCTTTTCTACCTCTTAACCACCAGCTATCCTGATGACGGAAGTTGGTCACTCTCTGTTTCCCCTGTTCTATCGGCTTCCTGTCTGTGGCTTAGAACCAGACAGCCCCATTACTTCCCCTTTCCTCCATGATGAAACTCCTCATGCCAGAGATGGCTGAAGGCAGAGGATGGCTTCTGTCCTGGCAATATTAGGGCAGAGGGTCTCTGGAATATGCGAGGTCCATGGGCAAACCCCAACCAGAGGAAGTTAGCTTCAGCTCTGTTTGGCCAGGGGTCTTCAGAGGAGCCTCAGCACCTTGTTCTAGCTTGTTCCTGCGGCCTCTGTTCCACATGGAGTTTTCTGTGGTGTTACGTACAGGGCACGCCCTGTAGGAACAAACACATGAAGATAGTGAGTGTTTATATCCTTCTCTGCCGTGTGTTTACTGAGCCTCTTCTGTGAACCAGGGAGCATAATAGGATGGAGATTGCTGATACTCCAGTATAGTGAGTATCATGTAATAAGTTACATGAATAACAGTTGTAGGCAACGAGCCCCATAATATAGATGCCAGAGGTGTGCTACAGGAACTGGTATTAATGGCAGCTAGGGAGGTTGGAGTTGAATTGTTCTTCAAGAAAAGATAGCATGTCATTTAATAAGTGGATATTTGAGAGAGTGGCTGTGCAACAGCTCACAGAGGGTGGGGAAAGACTCAGAATATAATCATGAAGCCATTGAAAGTTTTAGGACATTAGGTTTTCATGGAGCAACATGAGCAGTATCACATGAACTTCGTTTTCAGTTTTGTTTGATCTCAACAATTACTGCATAATTGTCGATTTGCAGGTAATTGTTTTCTTATTTATACCAACACATTTTTTTAATGATGAAATTTGAATAACCTGACAGGACTAGAAATGGGGTAAGTAGGCCAAGAGAAAAAAATTTGGAAGTTTTCAGGAAAATTTGGAAACTACTGAATCAGGGAAATCCTCCTGTGAATAGGAATTGTACTTTCCACTTTATCTGATGATATTGACTTACACAAAAATCTTTCCATTGTATCCTTTCTCTAAAGGAGAAAAACTAGGTAGCAAGTTAAGACCATTTTTTTTCAAATATTTTATTTATAAAATTTCCCATTTGGGGGATTCCTTTTTCTTTCAATTCAGTTCAGTTCAGTCTCTCAGTCATATCTGACACTTTGCAACCTGATGGACTGCAGCACGCCAGGCTTCCCTGTCCGTCACCAACTCCCGGAGCTTGCTCAAACTCAGGTCCATCAAGTCGGTGATGCCATCCAACCATCTCATCCTCTGTTGTCCCCTTCTCCTGCCTTCAGTCTTTCCCAGCATCAGGGTCTTTTCCAATGTGTCAGTTCTTTGCATCAGGTGCCCAAAGTATTGGAGTTTCAGTTTCAGCATCTGTCCTTCCAATGATATTCAGGACTGAGTTCCTTTAGGATTGACTTTAATTGACCTTTTTCTTTAATCACACATATACCAGGTTTTATATTTTAAGTGTCTCAAAAGTTCACCATTTCCAGGAGATAATTAGGGTGTAAAATTAATTTTTTACCAAGGTCACTGGATTCATTTCAAATACCAGCTGCTTTCACTGTAGGTGAAGGCAGAGACCTCTCTTCCTACCAGGCTCCACTTCCTGGCAAATGTAGTGTCAGTGAGAGATGCAGGCCATGTCAGGAGTGGGTAGGCAGAGCGTGGGCTCATGGGCCACTCTTATGGCCCACACAAGTTACTGTCTCCCAAGTCTATTTGGAATGACAGTGTTTGGTCTCAACTCTGCTGTTGAAAATGAAGATTGGAATAAAACATTCACTGAAAGTAAAGATGTGGAATAGTGTAGACTGTCAGGCTAAGTTTGAACCCTAGCTCTGTCACTCATTACATGTATGACTTTAAACAAGATTTTTTTTTCCCTTTAAATAACTGCATCAAGTGTGAAAGGGTTCTACTCCATCCTCTAGAATGTGGGAGGTAGAGTTAACACTGCCCACTTTAAGGGCAAGTTAACACCACTGAACTCAGTTTGCTAATCTGTAAAATGGGGTAAATGATATTAGTTGTACCCATATGAAATTACGAGTGCACAACTGTTTTGACCTACAAAAATGGTAATTTTAGTTGGTTCAGCCAAATCCTTATCAAATGGTTTGTGTAAAGCACCAGGTCAGTGGCTAATGAGCACCCAACAAATGAAGGTCTCATGTCAGCAAAGGTCCCCTTTACTAGTGATCCCAGGGCTCCCCAAGGGGACTGGAGGTCTCTGGCTACCTCATCCTCTGATGGTGTAGAATAAGGAGTCAGGCTCTAGGATTAGACCACTTGATTCAAATCCAGCGTTTTACTAGCTGTGTGGCCTGGAACAAGCAGTTTATCCTTTCTGAGCTTCTGCTCTCTCATCTTTAAAAGAGGATAATGGTACCCACTTTAAGTCAGTCCTGAGACAGAAAAGATAATGTGTGTGATGTTTCTGGGCTCATAATGGGCACTCGATAAGGCACAGAAGATTACGTACAAATTTCAGGTGTATAACATAGTGATTCACAATTTTTAAAGATTACATTCCATTTAAAGTTATTATAGGCTCTTCCCTGATGGTTCAGTAGTAAGACCCAGGTTCAATCCCTGGTGCTGAAATATCCCACATGCTGCAGAGCTACTAAGCCTGTGTACCACAACTACTGAGCTTGTGCTCTGGAGCCTGGGAACCACAGCTACTGAAGCCCGCACCCCTAGAGCCCATGCTCTGCCACAAGAGAAGCCACCGCAATGAGAAGCCCACACATTGCAACTAGAGAGTAGCCCCTACTCGCTGCAACTATAGAAAAGCCCGTGCAACAATGAAGACCCAGTGCAGCCAAAAAAAAAAAAAAAAAATTAACCTCTTCTCTAAATCAATAAAGTTACTATAAGTGAAAGTGAAAGTCGCTCAGCCATGTCCAACTCTTTGTGACCCCATGGACTATACAGTCCTTGGAATTCTCCAGGCCAGAATAGTGGAGCGGGTAGCCTTTCCCTTCTCCAGGGGATCTCCCCAACCCAGGGATCAAACCCAGGTCTCCCACATTGCAGGCGGATTCTTTACCAGCTGAGCCACAAGGGAAGCTATTGGCTATATTCCCCATGCTGTACAATATATCCTTGTAGGTTATTTATTTTATACATAGATGTTTGTACATTTAATCCTCTATCCTTACGGTAACCCCAGTGGCAACACTAGTTTGTTCTACCTGAGAGTCTGCTCCTGTTTGGTTATCCTCACTAGTTTTACTTTTTAGGTTCCAAACTGTCCTTAAATGTTGCAATGTGGCATTTAGCTCAGCACTGGAGTGACTAAGTAGCTTTGAAAACACTTTCTTCCAGGTCCTCTGGACCCCTCGGGTGCTGTCAAATGGTGTCGAGTTCTCACGGGTCAGTCCAGATGGTGAGGAAGGCTACCCTGGAGAGTTAAAAGTCTGGGTGACGTACACACTGGATGGTGGCGAGCTCGTGGTCAACTATCGAGCACAGGCCAGTCAGACCACCCCGGTCAATCTGACCAATCATTCTTACTTCAACCTGGCCGGCCAGGTAAGTGAACTTGCCTCTGCTCACCTGCTGTAGTGTGAAGAGTCACTTGCCTCGTCTCTCTTGCATTGAGCTTTGTGGAATGACCTGGGGGTGGGGGGTGGGGGGCTGTGACTGAAGAGACTAACCCATTAGGGAATTACTCTGGAGATGGGGTCACCCTTGGAGTGAAGAACAGCACCCAGCAAAGCATCTGACTCATAGTAGCTGCTCAACAAATGGAAATTATAGGGAAGGGAGTACGCTGAGTAGCTTGTGCTGCCCACATGCTCAGACAGGTAAAACTAGCAATTTCAAGAACTCCTTCTCACCTGGGACTTCCCAGGTGGTCCAGTGGCTAAGACTCTGAGCTCCCAAAGCAGGGGTCCCAGGTTCAATCCCTGGTCAGGGAACTAGATCCCACATGCCGAAACTAAGAGTTCACATGCTGTGACTAAGAGTTTGCATGCCACAACTGAAGATCCTCCAGGCTCAGCCAAATAAATAAATAAAAATATTTTTTAAAAAAAGAATTCCCTCTCCTCTGTGACAAGGGCTTACATTTGCTTCCTCTGTTCCACTCCTCTCCCTCCCCTAAAAATTACTTCTAAGTAAGGCATTTTCCACATTGGATCCTTGGAAGTGTACTTAGCCCAGTCCCTTTTAGGAAATGCTGTCAGTATTGGGGTGCTCCCACTGTACAAACCCACCTGAAGAGTGCTGTGAAGACACTGAGAGACCCTCTTAAGTAATTCCTTCTAAACTACCTCATTCCTCCCAACCGTACGTAATATTTTAGCTTATTGAGGAAGCTATTACATGACACAGAATAAAAGGCTTAGCTAGACTCTAGATTCTGTCTATGACTTTCTCTTCATCTGAGAAGCTCATCATTGTTCACTATACTTGAATCACTTTGGCATGATTTCCTACCACAAGGTGATGTTCACAGCCAGCTAGTAATACCTTACATTTTTATACTTTTTCGGAGTTTGCTGGTGATATGCTGATTTTTTTCTAGAATCTTTTCAAATAGCATGAGCTAATTTGTTCTTGCATAATTTCCAAAGCTCTTCCTTTGAAAATAAGAAAGATGGTTCTTCACTTGCTCATTCCTTATGTTCAAGAACCATCCTTCTTGAGATCTTAAACCAAAAAAATAATAATAATAATAAGACAAACATGCACAAGCCATAAAAGACTGCAGTCATAAGCATAAAACCCCATTTTAAAAAATAAGTTCAGAAAGAAACTTCACAGAAATAACACAGAATATTAATGGTATTATGTGGGTAGCAGATCATGGTGGTTTTTCACTATTTTCCACATTTTGTAACCAAGGGGGTGGTCTAAAGGAATAGATTGAGAAATAGAGAAATTAGGTGTGAAGTATTACATCTGCCTGTGTGTTCCAATGAAGGACACAAAATGGGGACGTAAGGTTCACTAAGGCTCTTTCTGTTTACCCGAGAGGAGGACCCTCCTGACCAGAATTTTCCACCCTTCCAGTACTACAAGGACTTGGAGGGACAGGTATTTCTAATTTTTTTTTTTTTTTTTTCCAGAGGCTGGATAGTTTCCCAGATCACAGACCCCACACAGAAAAGTGGTCAGGGCGCACTCCCTTGCGTGTGCTGTCTTAGTAAGTACAGCTCAGATCCACAGCCAGTAGCTTCAGGAGTGGGGATGGGTGAGGGCCACCAGCCTTTGGAGCAGACACTAAGAGTTGCTGGGCAGTTAATCAGCCTGGGGTCAAGGGGTCTCTCTGAATTTTCAGAACATCTCTTGCCCCACTGGAAAAGTATTATCGTGTGTTTTAAACCCTCCCCAGGAAAAATAGCTCAAAACTTAATATTTAAAGCAGTCAACTCATCATATATATTTTCTGTTTGTCTTTTAAATTTAATAAGCAAAGTTTTGTCCTACTTGGGGGGTCAAGCTTTGACTCATCACTTCTAAGTTTGAGTGTTGAAGGCCTAGAGACAGGAAAGCATGGTGTTTTTCAAAGAATGGAAAAGGTATGTAGATTGTAGATTAGTTGAGGGTTTTTTCTTTTTTTTTTTTTTTGGCTGTTCCTTTCTTATCTAACGCAAAAGTGGGTGAACTTTTTTTAAAAAACAAAACAAAACTGAAACTTTGCCTTAAGAGCTATGAAAGCAGGCCTGGGGCAATTTGAGATGAAAAGCAATAGTTACGGTTCTGGTATGTCTTTGTAGGTATGTTATCAAGGACCCAAATTCTTCCTTCATTCCATTCTGCTTTTTCAGTGTTATGGTTTTTGTCTTCAGGCTTATCCCCTCATAATTACAAAATGGTTGCCACAGCTCCACGAGTCACCTTTTCATATAGTCACATCCAGAGATTTTTAGAAAAGAACCTACTCTTTTTTTTCATAACTCTAATGTTCCATTTTTAAGAAGAAGCAAAACTTTTTCCAGAAGCTCCTCAACAGACTTTCCTCACATTTTGTGGGCCAGAGTGTGTCTTATGCTCTGCTTAACCCAATCACCAGCAAGGGAATTAGACAAATAAAGCTTGCTCTCTGGGGCCCAGGTGGGGTCCTGTCCCTGAATATATCCTCATTATAGGATGAATCAACTAGTCAGTATTCTGCCAGGGGAAAAGGAGGGTGTTTGCTAATAATGGAGTTAGATGGCTTTGGGGTAGGAACCAACAGTGTCTCTCTTGCTAGAGGTGATTAGAGTTGAATTAAGGTGGTGGTCATGGCAATGCACGAAAAGGTCTCTAATGCCCCCATCCAAGCCATAGTGCACTCAAAATGGTTAATATTTTTAACACAAATAGTAGCAATCAAACAAAGTTAACAAAAGCAAACACTGAACTCAGAGATGGGCCTCAGTTCTGTTTGTGACTCAGCATTCCTTGCCAAGATTTCATCAGCCTGGAAAAGAAAATAATCCCACGGTAATACTCCACGAGAGGAGACATTGCATTATTCCAAGTAAGAGAGTCATAAACTGAAAAGCATGCTTTCTTTACTGGAGGAGCGTTACTGCTGTTTAGTGACTCAACAATTAAGAGAGTGGGCGCCCGGTCAGGGTTCCTTTCTTTTTCCCCCTAGACTTCTTCTCAACATCTTGGACTCAATTTATTGGTCTGTGATTTTCATATGGAGTCATTTTCTTCCTGCTCTAGTGTTAAAAAAATAAAGTAAAAGGAAATTCCTAAGGCACTCTATTCATAATAGTAAAAAAAAAAAAAAGAAAAAAATCAAAGCAACTCAAAAGTCTATTAACAGGAGAACAGGTAAACAAGTGATATATTCATACAGTGGAATACTACTCAACCTTGAGGTGAGCACCGAACAAATAATTAGAGCCAAAGAAAGAGTCCCAAGTTCTCTTCCTCAGTCCGAGGGGCCTCATAGCCTGAGGCGTGAGACGATGACACAGGGAGGGTCACACAGGAGAGAGACCCTTCTAGGCTGTAACAGCTATAGGCAGCGATGCAGGCCACCACCATCTTGGACCTGCCTTCCCGGGTCAGGTCAGGGATGAAAGAAGTGGCTAAGAAGGTGTAGGCAGAGGCCCCTGCTCCAGCTTGGTCTCCCACCCACTCCTACCCCTGAGCACTGGGACAACCCAAGAGAATCCTAGTTCCTCAGAAACAGAGCCTCTTGGTACTGTAAATAAACTAGTCTCTGTCGTGTGTAGACATCGATTCTCATGGCCTCTAAAATCTTGGCCTTTCTCCTCAGGATGACTCCATTTGACTGTGCGGCTGAGGCCCTTTCACCATAGAGTCTGTTTTCAGTTTATCCCCAGAGCGCACTGCCTCTCTCTGCCTACAGGAAACTACAGGAAACTGCAGAGCCTTCAATTTGCCTCAGCTCAGGGTTTCTCAGCCTCAACACTATTGACATTTTGGGCCAGATAATTCCTCGATGTGGGGGTGGGGAGGCTCTCCTGGGCGTGGTCAGCTGTTTGACAGGATCCAGGGCCTCTTCCCAGAACTACTCCCCCAGGAGCTTGACTATCCCTGGTCGTGACAATCAAACATGTCTCAGGACACCTGTGGGGCAAAATCATCCCCAGTTGAAAACAATTGGTGTAGTTTACTTTTGAGCATTCACTCAGCAAAGCCCTCAGCTGCTTTCCATCCCACATCTTTTGCTGGGAAGCTCTAAAACACTGCTGTTAGGGCTGTGGTGCTCAGTGGTCAAGAATCCGCCTGCCAACGCATCAGACACAGGTTCGATCCCTGACCGGGGAAGATCCCACATGGTGCAGAGAACTGAGCCTGTGCACCACAGCTATTGAGCTCGTGCTCTAGAGCCTCGGAACCACAGTCCTGAGCCTGTGCGCCACAACCGCTGAAGCCCGTGCGCCCTGGAGCCTGTGCTCTGCAACAGGAGAAGCCACAGCAGTGAGAAGCCCTCTCACCGCAACTGAAGAGTAGCCCGGCTCTCTGAAACTCGAGAAAAGCCCGTGCAGCAGTAAAGACCCAGCACAGCCATAAATAAATAAATGAAATTGTTTTTTAATTAACTAAAAAATACTGCTATTAAAATATAATCCTTCTTTTTAGAAGCATATATGTGTATTTTCCAGTTTGCAAGCACATTTGACTAAACTGTTCCCCACGAGAACCCTGGACAGAATGGGGGCATCAGCCCAGTCTTATGCTGAAGGAAGTGAGATTCCAGGAGGTTTAGTGACTTCCCTGGGCCACTCACTGGGAGCCAGGATTAGACCCTAGGCCTTTCTGACCACCAACTGACACTTCATGTACCAGCCTTGGACTCTGCCAAGAGGGCAGGCTGTCTTTATGGAGGAGCTGGGACCCCAGTTCTGACTCCCAGTCTTCTGCTATGTGGCAGGGAGTGGGGGACTTCTGGGTGGGAACTAGGCCAGAGAAGTGGTGACATGGCCCACCCCTAGTGAGCCTACAGGCAATGCTTTGAACACCCAGCACCTGTGTTACAGGTCACTGACTCTTGCTCTTCTCTTTGCCTGGGATGTGAGGAGAGTAGAAGAAACCCCTCTGCTAATAAGTGAAAACCCTAAAGGCTTGCAAACCACCATTGTCTGTCTGACTTTTCACTTTCATCATTCCATTCAGAGAAGTCATGCTGGGGTCACCCTTGAAAGCTTCTTTCAGATGTATCGGCTACTGTTTTGAGCCCCTACCTACCTAACTTAAATGAACATATTAGTCATCCTCATCGGTCAAATGACATTTCTAAAGTTTTCGTCAATACTTGAAATCATTTCTGCAAGAGAAGTTGTAAAGCAGATATATAAGACTGAGCATTAAATCTTCATTTCTTTCTCTACTTTTTCTCTCCCAGGGTTCCCCAAATATATATGACCATGAAGTCACTATAGAAGCTGATGCTTTTTTGCCTGTGAATGAAGTCCTGATTCCTACAGGTTGGTGAATTTAAACCTTTTATAGGAATGCAGAGCTGGGGTGCAGTGTGAGAAACATTAAAACTTCATTTCCCTAAATTTATTTCCCCTGTTGGCCTGACACAATGCCCATAGTTGCCATGATTAGTCATTTATTTTGGGTAAGGTTGGGAGACCATGTACTTAGACAATCAAACCATGACAATTTTGAGAGAGAAGGAATGCTGTTAATAATTAAGCCAAGGCAAAAGGCATATGCTGAGATAGTCCCAAACAAACTGGGTCAGATGGTCATCCCAGCTGAGCCTTAGACTTCAGAAGGTCTCCACTAAAGTGTCAATCTGTTATTTCTTAGCATCTTAGCAGAGGGGAATTTACCTAAGTATTACCCTACAAATGCAGGACCCTGATAGAACATGTCATGGTTTTTGACAGAAGAAGAAAAGGGTGGGATGGCTTGCACCTTGAGTAGGACAAATGCGGGTATATCACCTCTGAAACACAGGGGAATGGTATGGAAGAAGGAGTCCTGCCTATCAGAAGGGAAGGTGAGGTGTTGCCAGAGAGGAATTTCATGGGGGGATGTGTGTGTGTATCTGTGTGTTTGTGTGTCTCCTGGGTTAACTGAATTGAGGTCACCTTGGTTATTATTATTTGGGATCAAAAGTACCTTGGTTCAATAGGCAAATCCATAGAGATAGAGAGTTGATTAGTGGTTTCCCAGGGGCTAGGGACAGAGGAGAATGGGGAGCGATAATGAGTATGAGATTTCTTCGGGGATGAAAGATTCTGGAATTGGATAGTGGTGATGGTTGCACAACCTTGTAAATACACTAATCATTGCTGAACTGTGCACTTTAAAATGGTATGTGAGTTATCTCAGTTTAAAAAAAGAAAGAAGGAACCTTGGTTCATGTGTTATCTCCAGGATTGATGGGTGTAATTTTGTACTAGATCATATGTGTACCCCCATCTGGCTCCAGGGGACAGATGGATGACAACAAGATGACTTGCAGGGGTACTGTTATTTGTGGCAGGTTATAGAAATTAACTTGGAGTAATTACCCCCAAAGCGGTATATACATATTCTTATTGGGATTTTGTTAAAATCAGAGATAAGGTGAATGTTAAAAGCATCATCAAAGAAATCTAAAATAAAAGTAGAGGATGAAGGGAAGGCAGAGCAGAAGTCTCGAAAGACAAATGCTTTCTTCATCAGCTTCCCTGATTACAATTTTTTAGCATCACAGAGTTGAATGTTTTCCTGGCTCCAGGGTTTTTTTATATTTACCTTGGTCTGATAACATGTGTTATCTGATATGGACATGGCTCAATAGGTAGATGCAGAATTATTGCATTGGAACTCTTATATTGTGAGCTGCAAGGGAAAAATAGTGGCAGCTACTGTTGTATGACTGACAAGAAAATGAGGTAAGCAGCTTACAAGCGAGGTGATGAAATAAGGGCATATTTCTTTCTGTATATTTATAAAATTTTATGCTATCCTTCTGAGTTTCGATCAGATGAAAATCACAAAAAAAATGCATAATTCATGCTAGGTAAAGATTATTTGTCATGATTGTAAGAGATAATTGTGGCAAAGCACAATACAACTTAACATGTAATCTAATTGACCACGTAAAACTCACATTCATCACAGTTCTGCACTGTAAGTAGCTTTAGGTCAAATTCTCCCCTCTGTACTAATCCTGGACACCTGTGAAGCTGAGTAGGCTGTAAAAGCTCTGAGCTTTCAGGAGGCAAGAGCCCAGGCTCCAGTCTTGGCTTGGCTATTGACTGGCTACAGGACCTTCAGTGCATGTATAATACTTTAATATTTAAACTCTCTAGACTCCTTTTTTTTTTTTTTGCAAATAGGATGTTGAACTCAATCAGGGTTCATAAATTTTTATAAATCATACCCATAAATTTTATTTTAAAAAATTAGGGAGATTTATCTCAGGTTGTTCAACTTTTCATTTTGCCAAGGCTAGAAAGCTATTACAAATACAGAGCTATTAAAATTAATTGGGAATATATGCATATTATATTTTGATTTAAAAAATTTAACTGATTGGGATAATAATAAGAAGCAGAGTTAAATAGGCTACATTAAAAAAAAAAGCTACCATTCATAGTCACCGTTTTTCATAAAAGAAAAAATATATTAATATATATTAATTATCCAAATCTATCTTAGTTTTCTGTGGACCAGTGAAAATTTTGTCATGTATTCATGATTGCCTGTGCACTCAGTTGCTTCAGTTGTGTCAAACTCTTTGCCACCCCTTGGACTGTAGCCCACCAGGCTCCTCTGTCCATGGGAATTTCCTCGCAAGAATACAGAGTGGGTTGCCATGCCTTCCTCCAGGGGATCTTCTCTACCCAGGGAGCAGACTTGTGTCTCCTGCATTGGCAGGCAGATTCTTTACCGCTGAGCCACCGAGAAAGCCCCATACTCATGATTAAGAACCAACAATTGGTCTATAAAGTCACTTGTAACTCTTACATTCTGTAATTCTATAAGGCTCTTAGTATAACATTTTACTGCCATATTCACATCCTTCAAATTCTTTAGAACTCTATTACATAAATAAGTTGCAACAAACTTCAGAGCTCTTGAAAAATTTGTAATTTTCTTTTACATAGCCATACTTTAGCTGATCCCTCATAGATTATATCTGTTTGCCCAGTGGTACTTAAACTGAAATTATAGGGATTTTTTTTCTTCCTTCTTTCTCAGAAATGCTTAAGAAACAACTATTGTTCCTTTGGAACTTCCTCCAAAAAGGCCGGTAACTTCTATTCTCCTCCTCAGTGATGTAAGATTTCACATGTCTGGCCAACTTTCAGCCAAGAAGAAATCTATAGGAGCTCAGATTACATCTCTTTTTTAAACTTTTTATTTTATATTAGAGTATAGCCAATTAACAATGTTGTGATAGTTTCACGTGGACAGCAAAGTAACTCAGAATACATATAAATGTATCCATTCTCCCTTATCTGACTCTTAACATTACCCAAAAGCCCACAGGCAAGTGGCTTAACTGAGGCCAGTCCAGAATCATTTGGTCATTCAGAAATGCCTCCCCAATTTTGGTAATGATGGTGGATTTTGAGGCTCTGTTTACCTGGCTCTGAAGATGATGGACTTCAAAGGGCAAAGATTAAAAATTTCATGATAGTTTCTGCTTTTGTTGTGGGAGTTTGTTATATGGTTTAAACATTCACTGAAATATGTTTCTTCTTAGAAAAAAATTTTTCTTGCCCAATATGTGCTTTTTTTTATTTATTTTCCCATTTATTTGTATTAATTGGAGGCTAATTACTTTACAATATTGTAGTGGTTTTTGCCATACATTGACATGAATCAGCCATGGATTTACATGTATTCCCCTTCCTGATCCCCCCTCCCACCTCCCTCCCCACCCCATCCCTCTGGGTCTTCCCAGTGCACCAGCCCCGTCTGCTTTTATTGTACCATGAAAAAAAAAAAAAGCCTCCCCAGTGTAGCTGGGCTCACCAGAAATTGACTGGTGGAGGAGTCAGCCAGGATATTATCCACTAACCTGGAAAATAATGTCAAGATAGATGTAATTCCCAGATAGAAGAGATGAGAATGAAATAAATCTTGGAAGGGCACGTAGAATTTTGCCAGGTAGTGAGAAGGAGAAAGACGTTTTGGATGGAGATGAACAAGAATGGGCAGTGCAGGAAACAGCAAGACTGTCCCCAGGGAAGTGCTCGGCTTCTGAAGCATTCAGGGCATGCTTTTGGTGGCAGAAAATTATGGATGGATCAACAGAGGTGTGTGGGGGCCAGGTCAGATCTGCACCAGGCTCTGGTATGGCTGCAATCCTGGGTTGGCCCTGGATGACCCTAGGCTTGCCTGGGGTTCAAGGTCAGTCTACCCAGGGCAGATTCACAGGTGTACCAGGTATTCAGCCAGAACTGGGCTGCACTGAACCCCAAGCCCACTTCCTTGAGACAGGCTACAAGAAACCTGTTAGACCAGCTGCACTCATTAAGAGTTCTGGGAACTGATATACAGTAACTAGAGACAGCAGTTGTGTTGAGTCAAAGGAAGATACTGTCTACCTGAGAGATGAGGTGAGGGTTTATGATAATCATGGCTGGCATTTCAGAGAGCCCTTTATAAATAAAGAGTCCATACCACAACCCTATAACCAGGTTCTGCTCATTTTTCTTATTTAATGGAGGTGGGAACTGTAACCAAGGAGTTTGAGTCACATACTGAGGGGCACTCAGTTAAAGAGCAGTGAAAGGCTGGGGTTCAAACTCAGGCAGTCTGGTATTAAAACTGAGGCTCTTAACTAGACCTGTATCCTGCAGATGGTTAGATGTCAAAAAACCTTCTGGGAGATGGAAAAGGAAGAAAAGAGAGGGAAAAAAAGAAAAGTAAATGAATTTCTTGACTATATAGACAGACAGGATCACCATACAGGCAAGAAACAGAAAGCTAGTAACTCAATAAATAAAGCTTTGGATGGTTGTCAGTTCTCATTCTCCTGCCACCTTTTGTACAGGTGGCCTTCCCGCTTCTCTCACTATTTTCTTTCCCGTTTCTCCTTTTTCTCAGTTTATTTCTGCTTTTCTGCAAAGAAAACAGAAAACAAGTTTGTTCAAAATATTTACAAAGAAAAAAGAGAGAGAGACAAAGATAGAGGCCAAGTCTCCATCTTTTGTGGCTGTTAATTTATATTTGTTTTTCACCTCCTTCATTGAAAGCTGTAACCTGAGCTCTTAAGGGAAATGCTGATGCAGATCTAAACTTTGGGGGTGTTTTACCTTGGTTACAGACCCTCGGTAAGTAACTTTTCAGGTAATGGGAAAACCCGTTGTATGAGAAAGTAACACCTCTTACTGTACAGTAGTTGTAATACTATGGCTGAGCTACTCAGTAAAAAGGAACTTTCAGTAAAAAGGAACTTTCCCCCCATGTGTGTTTGGGGTAGAAGTAAAGTCCTGTCCTCCATTTTGTTTTCTCAGTCTTATTGATT